AATTTGAATTTTGTTTGTCCAAAAGTCATAAGGACATGCTTAGGGAAAATGACCAAACTACCCATATATATATACTTATCGTACACCTCTATTTAAAATAAAATTCGTATACAAAATCAAGAGCTAGGGTTTTACCAAACTAAGATGAAAGATTTAGAAATATCATAAACCGGTGAGCTGAAAATGGTGAGAAGGCACTGAAATGACGAATCTACAAGGGAAAAAGAGATTGAGCAGTGAAATGTGATCAATCAAATGAAAACAAGGCAATCGAAGAGTTGATAGAGGAGAGGCAAATCATACCAGAGAGAGAAAGTCGATTAGAAGTGAAATCGCAATATTGCCGCCGTGATCGGTGACTTTGGAAACAAACGACTTGTAAAATCCTAACATCATACGAAAATGTACTCAAAAAATGGCTTTAAGCGTTGCAGTGACGGTGGAAGAAAATGTGACAAAGGTATTGGAGAAACAATAGAATGAGGAGTCAAAGGATTGATCTGTTTATATGTATATATATATACATCCATCTCTTTCTCTCTCTCTCTCTCTCTCTTTCTCTCTCATCTCTCTATATATATCTGTTTGTATCGTTCGATGATGGTGATGATCTGTTTAGAAACGAAAGAAAAAAGTAAATTGGTGAAATTTGTGTGATGGTGTTGGGGACTCAAAGGCTATTTCAAAGGACTCGAGTCTCTTGTTTTCATCTAATTTCAAGCAATCAAATAGAGAATTAACAAAGAAAAGTAGAGATTTCATGAACTTAGATCTATATCAACAACCTCAATAACAAAATCAGAGCTTTGGCTTAATGCAGTACCGCTTGGCGCCGAACTCGTTCTTCACGAGCCCTCATCATCATCGTAAATCATTATCGTTGAATCTGTTCAAAAAGGCTCAAATTTGTTTAATTTTTGTAACAAATAAGTTGATATAGGTTCAAAAATAATTGAATAGATAAAAAATAATTTCAACAGATAGGGAAAATAAACTTGTGAATCCAATAGATGGATTATAATTTGGACAGATAAGAAAAAAATTAAGATAAAAATTTGAATAGATAAAAAAAATTAATAGATAGGAAAAAAATAATCTTGGTGAATAATTTTGACATATAGATTTTTTCGATATATAGGTTAATAATTTTGACAGTAAGTTTAAAAAAACTAAACAGATAAAAAAAGATTTGAATGGATAGGTTAAAAGAAGGGGTAAAATTTGAAATAAAATGTCCTCTATTGATGTAATATTTCTCTTAAATTATATTGCAGTGACTTGGGCTTAGACTAGTCAGTTAAGGCAAGAGATCAGTTTGGATCGAATTTAGACAAATCTCTGTATGCTTTAGAATAAAATTGAACATCTAGACTTCAACCCGATTGAATTTATCCAAGTTTCAACCTAAAAAACTATTGGTCCCATTCATGAGATAAGCCATTAGAGTAAGAGTAGCCAAAAAAGAAAGTACTATATGAAACAATTTATCCCATCATGAGATAAGTCATAGTAGTAAGAGTGGCCAAAAAAGAAAAGTATAAGCGGTTAGATCAAGTTCAATTTAGATGACTAAAATCAACAAATCACTATTAAAACCAAGCTAAAAAATAATTACAAAAATATATTGCATGAATTTCAATTTCAGTGATTTACCATTGGAAAAATGTAAATGAGAAGTAATATTACATACTTTATACAGTACATAAATGGTAATGAATTACATATCACACCATGTATACAAAATTTGAAAATTGTCATATACTAATGAATGAAAGATGAAAATACTTGAATTTTTTTTTTTTAGGAAATCAAACAAGCAAAACTATGGTACTTACTCTTAAAAATGGATACCGTATGTTCTTTCAAAACTATACTAAAATGATTGGTAACAAAATCACAGTAGTTAATAACTTTTTTCACCATAACAATACGTAATATTTTAATATTCATAACATAATCATAATAGTTCATTATACAACTGTTAGGTTTTTATTCTTAGCAATCCCGTTTGACAAAACTCCTTTCAGTTGTACTTTTATTCGCACTTTTATTTTAGTGAGGCTATGAGTTTTTAGATGCGAATCCAACCCAAATTGTGTCTTGCAGAGATGTTTCAGGAGTTAATGCTTTCATGTTTGCCACTTCGCTGACTATGTCGGGATCGAGCTACCCAGTCAGCTCGCGAGGGTCCACGGGCAACGCCCCTTGGCAGGTCTGGGGCAGCCCCCAAGCGAAGTCGAAAGGAAGCGCCCTCGAAGCCAAAAGCAAAATTGCAATCGAAGTTGTTTGGTCGCTGGAGTGAAGGAATGTGCGCTCGAGCAAAGAATCCTTGGTTTCAGAAGTTTTCACTGACTGTAAAAATACTGAGAAGTTGTATTTCTAGCTCGAGCGAGACTTTGGTGGCTCGAGCGAAGACACTTGAAAAACACACGTTTTAGTCTCCTCATTCGAGCGAGAATTCCTTCGCTCGAGCGAGCATCGCGGCCCTATTTTCTATAAATATGTGTTTTAGTCCGTTTTTAGGGTTATGACTTCCAGATCTTCTTCTTGGATATTAGGGTTTATATCTGGAGCTTCTTTGCTAGGTTCTTTGATGTTTGTTTGAGTTTCGCTCATGGTTTGGAAAATATACATCAAAGGATTGTTTGTTTTGTTCAATACAAAAGAGAGTGTTGTTCTTCGGTGGATTCCATGGAATTCGGGCCTGAAGCTTTGTTGGATTCCGGAGTGGCTCATCGTCGTGATTTGACATCGGCGTTGTGGATTCAACGTTGGGCAAGACAATTCTGAGGTGAAGAGGGGGCTGGAAGAGGCACATAGGGGTCGGTTCGATTCGGGCGTGGATTCGCTAGGTAATTGAGAGTACACTTGTGTAATTCTTTTATATCTTCTTAATAGATTATTTTGTGACTTTTGCTCGTGGTTTTTTATCACAATTGAAGGCGCTCCAATTGTGGTTTTTTCACGTAAAATTGTTGTGACGATTTGTCTTGATTGCTTGATTGTGATTGTTATTTACTGCTTAAAATTGATACATAATCACAAATCAATATCTAAGGGATTTCTAGATTTTTCAATAACCTTAATAATTTGTAACTAAAACTCTTTTTTTTTTTTTTTTTTGGTGCCCATTCTTAACATAATTATAATAATTTGTATTAATATTACAAAAACTCATAACTATTCTACAAAATAAAGTATATAAGTAAAAATAAAAATAAAAAGTTTGAGAGGGCTAAATGCAATTAAGCAACACATACATCATATAATCACACACATATCCTAGCAAAATAGCAGGGCCAAGACCCCTCCTAACCCCTCCTTCCCTCCGCCCCTAATAATAGATACATAATTACGACAGCGTAATGTATTCTTTTACTTATTAATTAACATGTGGTAGAAGTAGTATTCTATAAGTCACTTTGTATTTGACCCGAGATGTTGAGTGTTCGATCACATCAAATTTTAATCTATTTTTTTATCACATATTAATTAATAAGTAGATCTGAGAAGCCGGCAATGTTGAATTTGTTTTACATCTAGCCTATCCGAAAAAATAAGTCAATTATCCATATAAATCGGCCACCATCTTAGCCAAATAGTCGTTAAAAGATAAACTATCAATAAATTTTAATAGTTAAATTTTATTCTCAGTAAAGCCTTGTTTGGGATTATTACTTTTTAGCTTAAAAGTCAAAAAATCATTAAAAAAAAACCAAAAAATCAACAAATTATATATATAAAAAAAATCAAAGATTCTTTTTTCTTTTTACTCTTCGTACATCTTTTCGTAAAAAATTAAGAAGTCATCTCAAACATACTAATTTTTTATCTCATATTTTAGCTAAAAAATCAAAAAATTACTAAAATAGTCTATTTCCAAACGAGACTTAAGTCCAATTGAAAGTAGTCCTCCTAAAATCGTCACTAAAAATAATTTTTTGTTACAATTTTTTATGTATGTTGCTAAAAATTGACAATTAGTTCGTAATGAATTTTCTAAATTATAACTAAAAGTTAAATTAGTGACTTTTTTGTGATTTTTTTTTTAAATTGTCGCTAAAACTTATAATTAGTAACACTTTTTTGTGAAAAAATTTCAATTTGAAGTTGAAAATTAACAATTAGTGATATTTTTTCAAATATTTTTTAAAAAATACGTTAATTATCACAAAACATATTACATAATAAATCCACTTATTAAAACTTATACATAAATTTCTCTTGAAAATATATAAATAGTAAATTCTTAAAATACCCCCCAAACACACCCACAAAAATATAATACCACAGAGAACCTAGCTTTCCATGGCCGCACTGCACCTGCTTGTTTTGAGGCCATCCCACGTGACCCTTTTTTCACTGCTTAAAAAAGACCCAAAAAAAAAATGTTAAGTATCACCGTCCATCAACGAATCCTCTGCCGCGCCTCGAGCCTCCGGGGCAGCTTTCGCTCTCTCTGGTTTGAAAGCATCTTATCAATTCTGGAAGAAAAATAAAAATTTTGGCCCTAGTTTTGTATGAAACTGAATACAGTTGAAGGAGTAATTGAATCTTCTTTGAATCCTTCTACTGCTATTTTTCTTTTCGTTATCTGCTTTGAATCTCTCACAGGTACTATTAATTTCAGTATCTCTTGAGGAATCGAATCTGGTGCACGGATTCCTTTTGCGCACTGTTTGGTTGCTTATAAATTGGGGAAAACAAGAAAAGAAAAGGAAAATTTTGATATACTTGTGTGTTTTCATTTTCCTTTGCCTCATTCTTAATTAGTGACCTTACTCTCTGGATGCAATCCATATAGAATGATAGCTTTTACTTTACCTTCATGCAATAGAGAATTTATTCCCACCTAGGTGTAGTTAAACAAAAATAAAATATTAATATAAATATCACTGAAGATGACGACGACGATGACGACAATAATAATAATAATAATAATAAAATTCTTCTTGCTTCCACAATAAATCTAGTTGCAGTGATATCTTCAAATGAACTGACGACGACGACGACAATAATAATAATAATAAAAAAAAAATTCTTCTTGCTTCCGCAATAAATCTAGTTGCAGTGATATCTTCAAATGAAACTACAAATTTCATAAAATTTAATATACCATTTTATAGATCATCGAAGTTTTAGATTGTGAATGGTCTTTGGCTGGTTCATACAAAACTTGTGAATAGACTATATATATGTTGGCCATATATAATTCATTTGACCTTGTAAAGTGTAATAAGCGGTAATAAAGCCAAGGTAGAATCTTGAAGGTTGTTTCAATTAAATATAGAACATAATTTTTGGACTTATAAATAGGTCCTAAATTCACATTTTAGGTTGAAAGTATGACGAAAACTTTCCCTGATGTTCTGCAAAGATTTTTTACATATAGCTTGAATTTCTATTGATATTGCAACTAGGACGAGTGATGTAGAGAGAATGAAATGAAGCAATCCAAGTTCAAGAGGATTTGTGTCTTCTGTGGGACTAGCCACGGCAAGAAGAGCAGCTACCAAGCAATCCACATTTGTGTCTTCTGAAGAAGATTTATTTTTAGTGGTTTCTCTCGTCTTAATAACTAAATTCAAATAATGGGGAAAATAAATGGTATATTGGCTTGAGGTGATGCTTATCAGTGTTGGCTTAAAATCTCTGTGAATCAAGAAACCCCTTTCTAGAATATGCAGCGCAATATGCTGTAGCAGCAGCCCTTGCGACATTGGAAAAGGATAAAAAGGATTTGTTACACAAACTACTTTTACAAGGTAATGTTTGATGCTTCATCTTTCTTATTAAAATTAAGTAATTGTAAATATCTAATGTCTCAACTGGATTATTCATGCAGGTCTTGACATTACAATTTTAGGTTGCAATGACTTCTATTCATATCGGAATCAGGTATTGTACCTTTCCTATTGTACTTTTAAAATCTTCAACTTATTTTATCTTTAGTGGTGTTTATTTGCTCATATTTTTTGCCTATCATGTTCTTTCTCTTTTACTACAATTGAAACATCTACTATAATGATTATGCTTTCTGAGCTACTAGAATGAAAGTGATTTTTTGAATCATCTTATCTATATCATTAATGTATTGTTACAAATTTGCACATTATTATACTTGAGATGTTTCCATAGGCCAATGTTTAGAGCAAGCCAAAGTTTAACAGATTGAACTGTGTAAGTTTTCCATGCTTCTAGGTGGGGTTTATCATGTGAGATTGGAAAAGGGAAAGTTGGCAGTGGTTTTGATGTTAGTTCTGCAGTTTATGGTAGTCAACGATATGTTCGCTTTTCACCAGAAGTGCTTTCTTCTGCTCAGGTTTCTCTCTCTTCCTCTCTCTTTCTCTCTCTATATATGCAATTATATTTTGTCCTCGTAAAGTATTATTGAATTCTTACCTTGCCCTTAAAGTTTATTTTTCCCAATTTGGTCTCTAAACTATATGATCATTCCCAATTTGGCTCAATTCCCAACTGCCGTCCAAATTATTGACATAAATTGGCACGTGGCACTCTTTGGCCCCACATGGCATATTAAATAACCATTCATTTTGGTACATGTATGATTGCATTAGTGTTACACTTTGGCATTACAATTCATCAATGATCATTGATCAAAACATAGCACGAAAACATTCAACTTTGTCAGATATCAAGAGCTCTGTGGCAGAGCTTATGATGGGAATGAGCTGAGAACATGAAAAACAAAAAAAGGTTAGGAAGTTATAGAAGACTGTTTTTGATAGTGTCCTTTTGGGGACAATATTGTAACAAGGGCTACTTCATTAGGTGTATTTTTCTACAAACTTTCACTAGAATTTGTCTTATTTATGGGTTTTCCTTATTTGGAATTGCAGGATGCTGTTTTTTTGAATGAATAAAATTGCAGGATGTAGTTGAAGGAAAAGCGTTAGAGGAAGTCATTGGTGATGTGCTGAATGGAAAATGGGACCATGAGAGGACTACATATTGAATTTGAATCCCTTAGTAGTTGGTATTGTTTTTT